CCAAAGTGGGGCGGCGGCGCCATGCGACTTGCGCCACTGGGACCTTAGGTGGAGCCCCCCTTATGGGGCCACGAAACGTGTTAGGGGTGCTGGAGCGTTAGGTGGAGCTCCTTGTGGGGCCACGAAACGTGTGAGGGATGTGCCAAAATGGTGCAGCGGCGCCGCGCGAGCTGCGTCACTGGGGCCTTAGGTGAAGTTCCCGATGGGGCCACGAAGCGCTGTGCTGGGTGGGTGAAACGCAGGGAAGAGGGGGGGGAGGAGGAGAGGAGGTGGAGAGGAACGCGGGGCACTGTCTCTTCAAAAGAGGACCCACCACCACAGGATGGTTGGGGACAACAAAAAAAGAGAGAGCGAGAGAACAGAGAGAGAGAGGGACATATATATATATATATATATATATATATGTACATAGGTGAGGGAGGCACAAGGGGGAAAAAGAGAGAGAGAGAGATAAGGAAATAAAGAGAGGAAAGAGAGCGAGAAACCCAATGTGACAGAACTGCGTGCGAATAACAAGTTGTTTCCCTCGTAACCTGGATGCCAAGAAGGGGCCATGCAGCGTAAAACGACAATGAGGCGACACGAGTCACGCCGAAAACTGCGTACGAACAAACAACTGTTGCAATCGCATTCAGGACGCAATGTGAAGCAACACTGGGTTGACACGTGTCACGCCGAACTCCGCGTGAGAAGAAAACCATGCGTTTCACTTGCAGCCTGGATGCCAGCATCGGACCATTTGTGAAACAATACAAGGGTGGCACGCGCCACCCCGCACACCGTGTGATACAATTAGCCTGGCGAAGGACCAGCCCCCCCTCCCCACCTCCCCTTTTCTCTCCTTTCCCCCTCCCCTTCTCTCCTGTCCCCCCCACCTCTCTCCTTTCCCCCCCCCCTTTCTCCTGTTTCGCCCCCCTTCTCTCTTGTCCACCCCGCTTTCCTTTCCCCCCCCCCCCCTCTCTCCTGTCACCCCCTCGCCCCCCTCTCTCCTGTCCCCCCCCCCTCTCTCCTGTCCCCCCCCCCCTTTCCTTTCCCCCCCCCCCCCCTCTCTCCTGTCCCCCCCCCCATCTCCCCTTTCCCCCCCTCCCCCCCTCTCTCCTGTCCCCCCCCCTCCTGTCTCCTGTCCACCCCCCCTCTCTCTCCTTTCCCCCTCCCCCCCGCCCCTCTCTCCTGTCCCCCCCTTCCTCTCTCCTGTCCACCCCCCCATTCTCCCCGCCCCACCCTTCTCTCCTTTCCCCCCCCCCTCTCTCCTGTCCCCCTCCCCTCTCTCCTGCGCCACCCCCCCCTCTCTCCTTTCCCCTCCCCCTCGCGTGTCAATTCGTTCGTCGTTGGCGTCCCCCCCCCCCCAGTTGCAGAGCGAAGCTTGAGCGAGCCCCAACACCCCCTCTCTCCTTCCCCCCCCCTCTCGCGTGTCAATTCTTTCGTCGGTTTTCGTTGTTTGCTTCCCCCCCACCCCCCCCCTGCAGAGCGAAGCTTGAGCGAGCTTAAGCCCACGCTCTCAGAAACTCACGCGCCGGATAGGCGGATTTACTCGTTGGGCAATCTTGAGGAATCTTGGAGGCTCTCTCGAGCATTCTGCAGCCCTCTTGGGGCCATTTGGGACGCCCTGACGCCTCGCGCCCCCTCCCGCTGACCCACGAGGAGGGGGTATGAGGTAAGGGCGACGCAGACTCCGAAAGGGAAACAGGGTGTTGGAATAACGAACTCCTCTGACCATTCACGCCCCAACGAGCTGGTGGGATGGGTGGGCGATAGGGGAAGAGGACGTAAAGGAGGGGGGCGGGAGGAAACGGGTGATGAGGAAGTGAGGTGGCGAGGACGGGCAAAGGGAGGGCGGCGGTGGAAGAAGGCGACGAAGACGACGATACGACTCAACCACAAAACCTTTCGCGAATCTTTCGTTTGGGGTGCCTCTGGGAGGCATCTTGGGTCCCACGTTTTGAGATTCCGGCGCCGTTTGGGTCCGTTCCCTTGCCCTCTTGGACATTTCGGGGACTTTCTGCGGGCAGTGTTTTTTCGGTCGCGCCCCGACGTCGGAGGCCAAAACATCGTTTCTCGGAGCCTTCTTGGGGCGCTCTTGAGGCGACGTTTGGCGTTCCAGGAGCTGCATTGGAACCCCATGTGGGCCCCTGGTGTGGCTCTCTTGGGCGACCTTGGGCTTGCACTGCGGCCTCGTAAACCCATCGGCCCATCGGGAGCCAAAGTGCGAGGTTTTGCAACTTGTTGTTGGACAGTGCAGTCGTTGGAACATAGTGGCTTCGTCTTGGGAAGACGGGGCCACGCTGAACCGTCTCAGGGTCGTCTCGGAGTCGTCGCAGAAGTCCATTCGAGGCGATCCTGGTTCATACTGTACAGTCAACCATTATAGTAAGGATGGGGCAACTTTCCAAGGCTACCCTTGCATCCTTGCCCATTCGGTATTCGGCATCCTGCGGCATTCTGCTGCGCTTCGCACGGGAAACGTCAACATGGCGTTCCAAGGCCCTTGACTCCTTACCGCGCATTATTACTATCCTGGTCGAGTGTACTCTTCTATGATCGTCTGCGTGTTTTGATTGAGTTAATGTCAACGCATCTGGGGCCACATTGGGAACCCCTTGGCCCAAAGGCTCTCCAATGATGTTTGCAAGAAGCAGGTGTTGTTCACATGCATTCCTTTTTTGGTGCTGGTTTGTTGTGTTGTTGCGTATAGTATAGCCGAAAGGGAGCGAATCATGCCCCCCCCTTGATCTCGTTTGGGGCGCCCCTCGGCGCTCTCGGGGCCGTCGAGGAACCTGTAGGGTGTAGGGTCCCCTCTTGAGGCTTACTTTGGCGACATTCGGCGCCATATCGATGACCCCGAAGCTCGTCGGAAGCGCAAGACCGAGAAGGTTACATCATCGCAAGCCACACGATGTTACAATTATACTGTCCTCTCTGACGGCATCGCTGGAAAGCTCCGTGGCCGCTTCGGGCCGTTCCATGGCGGGCCTGTAGACTTCGCGGACGCATGTTTTTCGTATTAGTTTGAGCCGCATTCCAGCACATTGCGTTATGTCGGGGATATGTGTTTGCTGTTTCGGGCAATGCTTCAGCAATCTTGGGCCATCCTGGACCCTTTGGCCCCTCGTGGCCCCGCCCTTCCGCCCAGGCCCAAGGCGCCGGGCAGGGGGAGAGGGGTTTTAAGAGAGGAGGCGCATTCAACCAGCTATGCCCAGAAAGGGTATCCTGAATTATCCGTAATCGTCGCACTCCCCAACTGTCGGCCCCAGTTGTTTGACGTTTCTGGAATGGCCGGGGGTGTCGGTAATTCGCCGTAGGCATTTCCCATTCCCGCCTCCTCTGTGTCTCCTCGTTTCTCCTCGTCCTCATCTCTCACTCACTATGGGTTCTCTGCTCCAGCACAGTCCCAGCATGTTGCCGAAAGTGCATTTGTCGCTACTTTACCACGCCCCTGGGGTACCAAGTTGCACTCCAGGCAGCGCCAAAACGGGTCGAAGTCTTATCTGAGGTTTTGCGGGGCGTTCCCGCACTGGGGAATGGGGGTTGGCCAAGTACAGCAACGATTAGCACGCATGCTGCGCGACTTCGCCAAAATGTGTAAATCTCAGCCCGAGCGCGCAAAATTTGGAGAACGAGGCTGGTGCATCGAAAATGGCACTCGGGGGTGCGCAAACAAGGCACTTCGATTGGACTAGCCACGCGCGTTTACACACAGCAGCCCCAACACAAACCCAGGTACATCATGGGTTTCGCCCCCGTCACCTCCGTATCGCCTCTCCGAGTGCCCGCCGCCCAACTCATTGCAGAAGCGCGACGCGGAATGGAGCCATCCCCTCGATCACTGCAACGCGACGCCCGATTTGTGTATCGAATCCACGTCCAGCCTTGAGAGGGGGCTGGTCCGCGCCCTTGCGTTGCCTGGCCACGCATGGGCCGCCCCCCCGCACGATTGCAGAGCCGGGTTTCGCTCGATTGTGGTTTTATCCGGATTGCTCGAATAATGGTTGGGGCGATTGGCATTGAAGCTTTCTTGGGCCCCCTTCAGTCGTTCGGGGTCCGCGTCTGACATCAAATGACACTTCAGGCGAACGTTGGCGTTTGCACCGCGCGATTGCCAAGGCGATCCAGCGCGCGCACTCGCGCAGTGCGTCCGATCAGACGATATCGCTTGCGCATGCATGGGGCTCCAAATTGCCCCATTACATATACCGATCGCGTCCTCGTGGACATGATGCGTATGTCATGCGCCATCCACTGCGTAAGTGATGCGCGAGCGTGCTTGCGCAGTTCATTTCCACAGGCGCGCCCCTACCATTATTTCTGCTCCAACAACCAAACTGTTGCTCCTGGAAAAGAATGGTAGCGAAGCTTTACTTCGGGAGCCAAACTGTTGCTCTCGGATCCAGTTTTTGTTCCACAATGTGATTCCATAATACATTATTGTTGGTAGTTTTGCATTTGAGTTTTCCGACACTACGGCGTTTGCGTAGGCGCCCAGTGTTTCTCTTTCGATATTAACCCTTCGAATCAATCATCGATCCCCCCAGCATTAGCCGTAGCACTCAAAGTAATTCATGAATCCCTTAGGAAGACAAGCGCCCAGCTGTATCGCTAGCATCACGAACTTGATGCTTGATAATTCAGCGGAGGGGCGCGTTCGGAGTAAGAGGGATAAGACAGCCCAAGAGAGGCCGCAAGACGTCGTCTTCGAGGGCGAACCCCCCGCCGACAGTTGAAGTCATGGATAACCCCTGGGTTGCTGCTGCAATCCTCTTCGGTTCCCATGGGAATCCGATTGGGGTCTCGTTGGGATCCTATGAGGATCTTGGTGGGATCCTGCTCTGAGGGGTCCAGGTGTGGGGTATCACTTCCAGGGGCGAGAAGCGATCTTGTTTCACCGAAATGGGGGGGATGATTCGGTAACTGTTTCTCCGAGGAGGAGGAGGAGGAGGAGGAGGAGGAGGAGGAGGAGGAGGAGGAGGAGGAGGGGGGTGACTCCTCGAGCTGGCGCGCGGCAGGTCGCTGACGCAGTTCATCGGCAGCATGGAGGTAAACCCTGTCAGCACAGGCCGGGAGGGTGGGCCACAGCAGAGGGGCCCCACTCCAGTTTCCAGCCCATGGCCTTTTTTTCTTCGCCAGGCTGCTGGGCGCCACGGCCCGTAGCGTCAGTCAACGGGCGGTGGCCGACGCCACATAGTCCTAACGGACGGAAGTGCACGCTGGCCACACCTACCCGTTCAGGCAAACAAACGACCCAAGGCGAGTCCAGCACCAGCAGCCCGCGGACCCAGGGAAGGCGGCCCCAGAGGTCGAGAGTTCCAGAAGGTTGCAGCAGACTGACCAGGACGAACCCGCCCATGACCTCTCAGGACTCCTCCCTCGAGCCCGCCTTCCATGCCCATCCCCTCTCCCCCCAGCAACGTCATCACACCCCTCCTGAAACTGCCGTGGAGCAGTGCCAGGACCGTCTTCGAGGCCAGCTGAAACCCCCTGGGGCCGTTCGGGGGCGATCTTTGCGCCCTCTGCGCGCCGGTTGGGGGCATTGGGGCAGTTCTTGCGAGTCATCACTTCTCGCTCAACCCGCGCCCCGCGCCTCGTCCAGCCTCTCTCCGCTTTTCCTGGCGGCGTTTTGCTCGCCGACGCTCCCCTCCCAGCTCGGAGTGGCGCAGGGCTGTGGATGGGATGGAGAAGGACGAGGAGGGGGAGGGAAGAGGACGAGGACCGGAGTACACCCAGGAAATATCAACGATGCTGCAATGCACCCGCCCGTGCCAAGTACACGTGGCATATGTATTCTCCTTTCTAAAGAGAGAATAGACTCTACCCCCCATCCCCGGCGTTATCCGCTCCCCTTTCGGGTATGTAAACCATATATGATTATGACCACATGCCCATCCTAAATTTGAATTTGCACTATCCCAGGGGGGCCGGTATCGCTCCCCCTGAGGTGCCCTTGTGAAAAACAATACGCGGGGACATCTTTTGTTCTAACATGAGACTGTTTCACGAATCCCTTGCAAAAAATGAGACGAAGTGCAGACGCGCGCGTCGTCGCGCGCGCATGCCGAAATCCTTCATAAACCTTCGGTGTCGGAAGGATATCGCAATCGAGTTTCCAAAAAACATGCAAAAACACATGGTTTCGCAACACTGATTTGCTGAAAAAGCTTACGCGCGAGCTCTTGCGAAATCTTAAGAAAACCATAGGTGTTTCAAGATTTGCACAAAATGCTACCAAACGGGCTTCGCGCGCGCGCATGCCGAAATCTGTCGAACGCCCTTGCGCGTGTGCCGTCGCGAGAATCCTCTGCAAAAAATGGGACGAAGTGCAGACGCGCGCGTCGTCGCGCGCGTATGCCGAAATCCTTCAAAACCCATCGGTTTCGGAAGGATTTCAAAATCGTGTGTCCAAAAACCATACAAAACACACAAAGTTTCGCAATACGGATATTCAACAAAAGCGTGCGCGCGCGCTCTTGCGTCGTCGTCGTCGTCGTCGTCGCCGTCCTCCCTCCTCCCGCGTCGTCGTCGTCGTCGTCGTCGCCTACGTCGTCCTCTGTTTTTCCTCGTGTTCATCGTCGTCGTCGTCCTCTTTGGCGTCGTAGTCGTTTCCGTCGTCGTTGTCGCCGTCGTCGTCCTTCCTCCCTCCTCCCTCGTCGTCGTCGTCGTCCGTCGTCGGCGTCTCGTCGTCGTCCCTCCTATTTCGTCGCCGTCGTCGTCGTCGTTGTCGTCGTCGTCGTCTTCCCTCCTCCCTCGTCGTCGTCGTCGTCGGCGTCACCGTCCTTCCTCCTTTTTCGTCGTTCGCGTCGTCGCCGTCCTCCCTCCTCCCTCGTCGTTGTCGTCGTTGTCGTCGTTGTCGCCGTCGTCGTCCTCCCTCCTCCCTCGTCGTCGTCTTCGTTGGCGACGTCGTCGTCGTCTTCGTCGTCGTCGTCGGCGTCGGCGTCGTCGTCGTCTTTGTCGTCGTCGACGTCGGCGTCGTCGTCGTCGCCGCCGTCGTCGTCGTCGTCGTCGGCGGCGTCGTTGACGTCGTCGTCGTCGTCGTCGTCGGTGTCGTCGTTGTCGTCGTCGTCGGCGTCGTCATCGTCGTCGTCGTTGTCGTCGTCGTCGTCGTCGGCGTCGGCGTCGTCGTCGTCGTCGGTGTCGTCGTCGTCGTCGTCGTCGTCGTCGTTGTCGGCGTCGTCGGAGTCGTTGGAGACGTCGTCGGTATCGTCGTAGTCGTTGTCGGCGTCGTCTTCGTCGTTGTCGCTGTCGTCGTCGGCGTCGCTGTCGTTGCCAAGTGCCATTTGGTACCCACCGTCACTGTCTTAAGAGATTCTGCAAACCAAGTTGCGGGTGGGTGGGTGGGATGTTTTCGCAAGCAGTGGAGGTGGTCAAGCGCGATGCAGGACAGTCAGCTACAAGCCATAGTTTACACCACAAGAAGCGACCCTGTGAGAGACGAGCACCCTGTGTGCTTGCACTTCAGGCGAGAGCCCCGTTTTGAAAAGGTATCGCAGTGCATCCGTCTAGCGAGTTAAATGGGATGCAACAAGCTATGACCACCAGATGATCTTTGCACTCATTGATAGCATCGCTTTCACAAGGAACCACCCACCCGTCCGTGAACCTGCAGCCCAAGCTCACATTTCCTGCTACCAGCGTTGTGGAACTCTTAAACGAGAGCCCCAGATTGTAAATGAGCCGCCTTCCATCCGCTCAGTTCTCTCATGTGATCAACTCTCTGGGCGCTGCGTAATGTATACTCATTCCGGGGGGGGCGTCGCCATCTGCCGCCCGTCACATCTCCATCATAATGGGGCATGCCGCAGTTAAGTTGGGATGCCTGGGCACAGACGTGAAGCAATATCACGACCTCATGCGAGGGCGAGCGGTAATCTTCAGGACACATTGGGATCCAGATGGTATTTTTGAATTCTGCGGTTTGTTCGAATTTCCCATCATGCTGTGTATTGGAGGCCTTTTTGGAACGATTGATGGCTGCTTGAGGCTACGTTTGAAAAAATCGCGCGGTTTGGACGGTCTGTACTACCCTCTGAGTATTTTACCAGGGACGATAGCTTCGGGGACGCGAACATGGCGTACTGTATTAGGGATCTTGGGCTCACGGGCGCGAGCACGGCGTAATTCATTAGATATTGTGGCATCGGCGCGAGAACAGTGCGCATGTTCCAAGGAATCGCTGCCCGAAGGGATCGTGCCTTCGAGGACGCGAGCATTGGGCAATTCACAAAGGATCGTGGTTTCGGGAGCGCGAGCACGGCGTAATCTACGAAGGATCGTGGTCTCGGGGACGCGAATATAGTATAGTTTGCGAAGGATCGTGGCTTCGGATACGCGAGCATTTTACAAGGGCTCGTGACCGTTGGAACGCGAGTATCGTGCAAGTTACACTGGATCGTAGTTTCGAGGGCGCGAATACGGTGTGATGTACAAGGGATCGTGGCTTCGGGGACGCTAGACCTGTATATGTCCTGGCCATCCTGTGGTGTTGGGCCCTTGTTTTGAAGAGACGACGCCTCGTGTCTCGCCTCTTCTCATCCTCGCCCCCTCACGTCTTCTGTCTTCCCATCTTGACTCTGTTTTCCGCATGTTTCTATTTCTGTTTCTGTTTCGGCGAGCCCCTCGCGCGTCGTTTCGCAGACCCCTGGGGAGTTCCGCCGACAGCACTAGTGGCAGGGTCCACATGACAACGGCGCCCAATTTTGGCACACCGCTCCCACGTTTCGTAGCTTCACGGGGAGCTCGACCGAATGCCCCAGTGGTAGGGTCCACGTGGCAATGCGGCCCCATTTCGGCGCACCTATTATACGCTTCGTGGCCCCATAAGGGAGTTCCACCGAAGGCCCCGGCGGCAGGGTCCACATGGCGGCGCCTCCCAATCTTGACACACCCCTAACACCCTTCGTGACCCCATAGGGAGTTTTGTTGAAGGACCCAGTGGCAGGATCCACATGGCGGCGTTTTCCAATTTGTCCCAACCATCCTGTGGTGTTGGGCCCTCGTTTTGAAGGAAGATCCCCGCGACCCATTCGCCTCTTCTCTCCTCGTCCTCCTCCCGGTCCTCGCTCCTCCAACCATTGCTTGTGCCTTCCGCATGCCAGCCAGTTTGGCATTCCCGTCAACCACCCATCATTGTGGCACACCCCTCACACGTTCCGTGGCTCCATAGGGAGCTCCACCGTAGACCCAGATGTCAGTGTTTGCATACGGCCACCGCGCCCATGTTGGCACACCCCTCGCACGTTCCGTGGCCTCATAAGGAGCTCCACCGAAGGCGCAGATGCGGGCACCGCGCTCATTTTGGCACACCTTTCAGACGTTCCATGGCCCCATACGGACCCCCACCCAAGGCAATGCCCATATCATATCCCATATACCAGCGCTTGCACGCGGCCACCGCACCTATTTTGGCATACTCCTCACACATTTCGTGGCTTTACAGGGAACCCTACCGAAGGCCCAGATGTCAGCGCTTGCACGCGGCCACCGTACCCATTTTGGCACACACACGTCACACGCTCCGTGGCCCCTCAGGGAGCTCCACCGAAGGCCCAGATTGCCAGCGCTCGCATGCGGCCACCGCACCCGCTTTGGCACACCCCTCACACGCTCCGTGGCCCCATAGGGAGTGCCACCGAAGGCCCAGATTGCCAGCGCTCGCATGCGCCCACCGCACGCATTTTGGCATACTCCTCACACATTTCGTCGCCCCATATGGAACTCCGCCGAACGCGGTGCATACAACGACGGTGCCCACAACTGCATATGGTTGGGTCCTTCGCCAGGCTAATTTGTGCACACCCCTCACACGCTTCGTGGCCCCATGGGGAGCCCCGCCGAAGGCCTGAGTGGATGGTTTCACGAAGGCTCCAGTCGCAGGATCCTCACGGCGGCGCCGCCCCATTTCGGCACACCCGTCACACTTTTTGTGATCCCATGCGTTTCGCGGCCCCATAGGGAACGAACGAACAAGCCTTGCACCAGACGGTGCGTGAGCAGAGAGAAAGATCAAGACGCCAACATGCCTTTAGCAATGTGGCCAAGCTTTCACTGCACGCTCCCACTCGC